TTAGGAAAGGTGCGTGCCAGGACTGTATTTTTTCACCATACTTATTCAATATGTATGCTGAGCACATAATCAGAGAAGCTGGATTATATGAAGAACGTAACATCAGGATATGAGGAAGACTCATTAACAACCTGCAATATACAGATGATACAACCTTGCTTGCTGAAAGCAAAGAGGACTTAAAATACTTACTCTTGAAGATAAAAGACCACAGCCTTCAGTATGGGTTGCCTCAATGTAAAAAAAAAAACCAAAAATCCACACCACTGGACCAACAAGCAACATCCATATAAATGGAGAAAAGACTGAAGTTGTCAAAGACTTCATTTTGCTCGTATCAGCCATCAACAAGCATGGAAACAGCAGTCAAGAAATCGCTAAGTTAATCTGCTGCACAAGACCTCTTTGAAGTGTTGAAAAGCAAAGATGTCAGTTTGAGGACTAAGGTGTGCCTGATCCAAGGCATGGTATTTTCAACAACCTCATATGCAAGTGAAAGTTAAACAGTGAATAAGGAAGACCATAGGAGAGAATTGATGCATTTGAGTTATGGTGCTGGAGAAGAATATTACAAGTATTATGGACTGCCAAAATAACAAAGCCAATTTGTGTTGGAAGAAGTACAGCCATAATGCTTCTTAGAAGCCAGGATGGCCAGACTTTGTCTCTCAAACTTCAGACTTTTCAGGAGGAACCAGTTCCTGAATGGACTCAAGCGTCGCCATGATTGTGAGGTTGGCGCAGGACCGGGCAGTGTTCCCTTCTATGTTCGCTATGAGTTTGTACCAACTCAATGACACCTAACAACAACAATAATATTTTAAAAGGTTGATCTCCTTTCCTCTACTCATCCAGGTACTATTTAGGAGGCTTGTCCTAGCAGAGTTAGACTTGTTGTTAAGTGCCGTCGAGTCAGTTCTGACTCATAGCAACTCTGTATAGTGTTTTCAAGAAGTGATTATTGAGTTTGAACTGCCAACCTTGCAATTCAAATTGACCTTGCCGTCCAGTGCTTAGCCTACATCGCCACACCAGGACTCTGCATCCAAGTTTAGATGATACAAACTAGAAAGTCCTTTCTTCCTCTTCAATGCAAAGATTCTATAAAATTTCATTAAATACCTAAACCTGAAAATAGTCTTTGCACCTAGCCACTTATTCTTTTATAAGGGGGCCTCAAAAGTGAAAAAAAAAATCCATTATCTTTATTTCCATTTTTGCACAAACATTTTGAAGCCCCCTCGTACTTATTTTGTTAAGAATTTGAGCATTGTAATTGAAAAGCCTTTCTTATTTCAGTTGTTGAATTTATCTATAATTCATTATCTTTGATTACTATTGGGAGGAATTCTTAAAAAGAAACCTTGATTAAAATACCAAATATGGATATCTTCAGAAAAAATTTGTATAGCACATTTATAGATAAATGATATGTAAAAACAGTTAAAACTCTTCAAAGAAGGTTCTCGTTAGATTATAATACATACCTTGAAAACCTATTACTATTATTTCAGGGCTGTTTTACTAATCATTACAAAGTAATAAATATATCTAGACATGAAACAATAAACACTTGGATATTTATAGCTTGCTAAGGGTCCTGGTATGGTACTGCAATATAATACGCTAGACTGCAAGGTCAGTTTGAAATGCAAGTTGGGTAGTTCAAACCCAACAGCTGCTCCTTGGAAACCCTATACAGGGTCATTATAGGTCAGAACCGACTCAATGGCACTTAACAACAGCAACAGGAAGACAATGGCAAAACTGGAATATTTTATATAAATCTTGTCCATAAAGTTAGTTAAGGATCTGATATTAATGCATTTACTCTTTAAAAAGAGGGGACTTTATCCAATTTCCAGTATAGTACCTTATATTTCTGTACTTCTTGCCAAAAGAGTACCCCATTTTCCAATAAGTCTCCTTTTAGAGCCACAAAACGTTGAAACTGCCTTGCAGTAACTGGGTTCAATAATGCTTTACGGAAAGCAATGATTTCACAAGATGAAGATATCCACTTACTCTCAACAGGCTGTCAAAAACAGAGAATAAAAACTTAGCTATGTTCTAGAAACGTTAATAAAGCCATTAGTTAGCTTAAAAATTACCAACTTCTATCTCCTTTGATTTTAACTGCTGAGATTTATGGCACTGATGTAATAGAATTTGGTAGGTCCCCCTCTC